TGTATGTCAATGCAGGACATTTTGCACTGTGGCCGCGTGGTCAACACCCTGCTCATTTATTCGCTTTATCTATGTAATGTGACGGCTCGTTCCATGAAACATTCTGTCTTTTGTGTTTTACAGAATGAATATTGTTGTTTCATGGAACTCCGTTTAACTCACATCTGTCTGCATGCATTACAGTGTGAGATGTTGGTATCAGTTACAAGTTGTGACTGTTATTTTGGTTCTATTGTCACTAATCAGTTCATTTGATTAATAATCAGCTCTCCTGTTATTATTAATCTGTTCATACGGTTCAGCCGTAAACCGGTTGGTTCATGGCTCTTTCAGTTTTTTCCGTCCCCGTTGAAGTTTTCCGGGGTGTTCATGTACTCAGAATGCATAGTTACACAACATGCGTCTGTGCATGGCACACATAATTACGCAATGCGTAATTACGCACATGGGGAGCTGAGTGACAAGACGTTTTTTGTGTAAGCTTCATACGGTGTTCGAATGGACCCAGTGAGGCGAGGACCACATCTGCTTCGCCCTTAACCCACCAACCGACAGCTTTAAAGGGCGAAGCTTATACGAAATAGAACGTTGGTTACGTACTGTAACCCCAGATTCTATGAGTATAAGCGTAGCCCTTTAAGTGTCGGGCCTCACTGGCTCCTAAAAGGCTGAAGAAAAAGCTATTTTGGGAGCCGATTTCCCGCTCTTAACGTAATTTATACGGACCGGGTGGGGCTCACACAGCAGGTGGGCGTGGACTAAATTTTTTCAGTGCAATGCTACGCATAACGGGATAAACCCACCAAGCGGCAGCCTTAAAGGGCTACGCTTATACTCATAGAATCAGGGGTTACAGTACGTAACCAACGTTTTTTGGACTGTGGGAGGAAACTGGAGTACCCGGAGAAAACCCAAGCATGCACGGAGAGAACATGTAAACTCCACGCAGAAAGGTCCCCGGACCGGGATTTGATCGGGAGACGACACCGTACTGCCCCATAAAAAAAATATATATATATATATATATATATATATATATATATATATATATATACACACACACATACACATATATACATACACATATATACATACACACATACACATATAAATATGCGCTATATATATATGTATATATATATATATATATATTGTCAATAAACCAGGTGTCTGTAGTGATGATACATGAACAGACGACCAGCTTTAATAAAAAAATGAAGCCTGATCGAAGTTCTCCTCAGCAGCTAAGTACAGAAGGACTGAACTCCTGCTTTAAATCCAGCTAAAAATGATAATGTGTAACCAAAAGTGTTTTACTATTTTAATAATATGTAACCAAAGCTGTTTTACTGTTTTACTAATAATCAACAAATAATCAGTTAATGGAAGTATTAATCTTTAAAAAATTGTATAATCTTTTGTATGATTGTGTGATTACTTTTACTTATGAAAGGGTAAAGTAAAGAGGCCTCAAGTAACAGTGAAACATGCCTGAACTTGTCCACCTAGGACAAGTCTGGACATGCCTCGAGCAGTAGAGGAGAACAGAAGTCAGAGAGTTCAAACACAGCTCATCTCATGATGACTCATCTTTGAGCAAAACAAGTTCTGGAAAGTACCTAGAAAACCGGTCTAAACCGGTTGAGGTGCAAAACAGCAGAGAAGTTACTGGAAAAGAGATGATGTAATTTTCCATAACCCCTCCTTAAGAGGAGGAGGGATGAATGAGTCTTTAAATACAGATTGACCAGAACAATACTGGGTCAATGCAAAGCTGGAGCTGAACTGGAAGAGCTGAGCAGAGAGAATTACAGGCGAGGGGCAGCTCATCAGGATCAGAAGGAGCCCAAAAAGAAGATTGGATTTTACCAGTTTTGAGATGATGATGGAAGTTAACTCTTTTCTTCACTGACATGGGATTGGATGTAAGCTTTCTTTCGTCGACACTCGAACTGGATGAGTTTCCTACTTCTAAAATTGCATGACCTGGGCCCGTCCAAACTCTGATCTTCTAATTTGGAAATAGTTGCACTTGCCTCAGAGGTCGGCCTGTGTCTCTCCCCTAGAGAACAGGAAATTTGCCCTTACCCCCACAAGTGTTTCACTAAGGGGCATTCCAAAATCATGGTAAGCGGACGACCTCATTCTTACTCTGCTCTAATTAAATTGTTTCATCAAATTGGAAGAACAGCATACAGAACAAATTTGGGAGTACTAAATTGGCTACTAGTGAGATTTGCTCGAAGGTGTTTCTGGTTCATGAGGGAGCTGAGAGAGAACATTTTTTGGCTTGAGTTGTGAAAGGTTTATGTGAAGGCAGTATCTGTAAACCCTCAAGGGCTCTTGAGGTTTAGAATTTCCACAGATAGTAGTCATCGCCTTGTTTAGGGAAGAAAGTGTATCCTATGTACTCATGATAAATTACTCATTATAAAATTGTGCCTGTTGCTGTACCCCTGCGCAAACTATTGATTAAAAGCAAAGCAAAACGTACAAATCTGGACTATTATTTCACCCTTAAAGAGCAAAATATGGAAATGCTTGGTTCACTTAACAACACCAATAACAGGAGGTTTTAGTAAAGGTTTCCTAGCTGATAAACAACACCCTTGTGCCCAATTCCAGGGTCCTAAAGATTACCAGAACAGTTAACAATTGCAACGCTAAAGTGAGAGGTGAGCGGCCACAACGCGAGTTTCTTTGGACCAGAAGATCCATCCCGGCTGCTTGAAGGATCGAGGTAACAGAGTGAGATCAGGGTGTGACTCACGGATTTAAGGTCGTTAATATTCTGGATGAATCACCTCGTCGCAGCCTTAATGAGCTTACTTTAGACAGCTGCTGGTAATACCATGGCGCTGAAGTAAACTCCCGGACCCCTTGGAGGAGGCTGCAGGCAAAGGTGTAATCGCTACCTCCAGTGGTTACCTTTGCCCATCGGAAAGCAGACAATATATATATACAATATAGATAATATATAGTATTGAGTGCATAACTGAACATGATTATTTGAAGGTTGGCGTTTTTTGTATTAAAAACACTTGTCTTTCATTGGTGGGATGAAATATGCTAATTTTTTGGGACAGGCATTTTGGGTTTTCATGAGCTGTATGCCATAATCATCAGTATTAAAACAATTAAAGACCTGAAATATTTCAGTTGGTGTGCTATGAATCTGAAATATATGAAAATTTCATTTTTATCATTACATTATGGAGAATAATGACCTTTATCACAATATGCTAATTTTTTGAGAAGGACCTATATATATATATATATATATATATATATATATATATACATACACAT